GCATTAACCATAAATAGCCATTTTGATGGTTTCTATAAAATAATACAGTTAAAGCGACGCACATATAATGATGGATACAAAAGTGTAGAGCAGATGAGCCAACAATGGTTTGCGCCAATGACATGTTCGAGTCGTAAAAAGTCAAATATGGTGAAATTGTGTTTGAATGATGTCGGCGGGGATGAGTTAGAATGAAGTGGACCCGTCGGCAAATGAGAGAAAACGAACACGTTTATATATGATGGCCGATGTATTGGTAGCCAAAACGTGCACACAAAATGAAAAGCAAACAAAATGCTTCCAATTATTCGATATGATGAAGTGTTTTGGCATTGCAAGGGCACATTCGGTGTGTTATGTCGTGCACATGGCCATCATCACCGGCATCATTAACTTCCTTCATTCATCCTTCCTATGTATCGCTAAATTATCTTTTAGTTTTTGATTAAATCAAATTGTTCACTCATCCAAGAGTCACCAATTTTGTTGAATTTCATTATGGAACAGTTCGTGCATGCACAATCTACTAAAAATAATGGCAACGACATAATAACATCCATCCGACTCTGTTAACCAAAAATATTTTTGTTTTGGTTATATTGAGCGTGCATAATTTATGTGCGAATGGATGGTAACAATATATGTAAAGGTGAAGCATTGTACGTGCATATCAGGTCGCTGGCCATGCGGAATATGGTTGGTAAATTAGAATTTTCAGTTCGGGATTCGAAGAGCAAAAACAAACTGCTCATAGTCAAACACTCATTCTCAATGAGATAAAAACAAACAACATTGCTTTTTACTGATCAACATTAACGATGTTGACGCTTGATGAACAAATACCAAAGATGATGGACAACAACAATAACGACAACTGAATTAACGAATTTAACAATACACACGTCCACCAATAAGAACAACAATACACATAAAACCATTATATTGCGATAGTATTCCAATAAATACACTTTTCAAATTGTTTAGATTCGATTTAATCCGATTGATGTTTGCGATTTTTTCAAGCATTCAGGAGATAAATGAAAATAGTCTCGCAAGAAGTGTATACTTTTGTTGTTTCATTTGTATACACTGTTTTAGTAGCCATTGATAAAAATGTTGTAAATATTGATTGGTTCTTTCACTGGAAGACTAGTCCTGAACTATCTCAGTTATTTGGCAACGTTATCCCAAATTACTTCAATACATAGAATTTTTACTAATTTTAACCAGTTAAAGGATCCCATGATGAGATTCTCATCAGGCCTCGGACTAAAAATTGGCCAATTACATCCAGTTTCAAATATACACATGAATATGACTAAAAATAAAAGCTTCCCACACACAAACAGATCATTTCCTTTAGAATCGTTGAGGTGCAAAGATTGGCTCTAGTAGTATAAGTATAAGTATATGTGTATATGGCATTTGAAAAATGAAAGAGTTTGTATCGAATTAAATCAAATATGCAATTAGTATTTATATACTATACTTCATGGTTTATTCACAGAATTTCAGTGACACAATGAGTCCTATCAGTATTGCTTTTAAACTCTATCTTCTTTTTAACGTGACAACCACGAGTATTCTATAGTTAATTCTTAGTCATGTATGTAATCCCATATAAAAGGAAAAAAATCAATTCGATTTCGTCAAAACCCTGGTTTTGATTCCATTATTGCTGACACTGTTTACGTTCGATTTAACATGTTTTATGTCAGCTACGTTGGTTGATACTGTTTTCCAATAGAAAATTGATTCCCACATGATGTATACGTCATTTTTTGCTGGTTCAATATCTACTGGATTTTGCAGCAATGAATTCACAATCAATTCACAATCAATGCATTGAGTTGTATTCGTAGTGCATACAATATATGCAAACCAATGGAACAAATGTGTAGAAAATCTGATTCCACACAGCAACCACATTATTTGAAACATTTTTTGAATTAGCCACTGTTGCAAGGGGGAAATCACTCTTAAAAAGTAATTTTTGAAATTAGTTCACAATTAGTTTGCAATTACTTTTTTCGCTCAAATTACCAATCTGTCAAAATTATTTTTATATGAAAAGTAATTTTGACAGATTGGTAATTGCAGGGAAAAAAGTAATTGCAAACTAATTGTGAACTAATTTCAAAATTACTTTTTTAAGAGTGATTTGCCCCTTGCACTGTTGTATGATATTCCAAGTATACACCGCAAGAGATTTCTATTTTTTAATCCAATGGTTTCCCATTTAAAATGGAAGTACGGAACTTCCCATCAACGATCAAACAATTTTTTTTTGAAAATGTTTACCTTGTAAAATCTATATGGTGAAAAAAAGTGCAAGTTGACTACATACTATTTGGATTGTATTCTTGGGGTTACCCACGAACTGTATACTAGAAAAACTAGAAACATCTAAAATGTACATGTTATATGTCATTTTACCAGAAATATTAGAAAAAAATTGCACATGTTAGAATCCGTGGTTTCCCCTAGATTGTTTTAATCGTGGATAATGGATTGGATTTGATTTCTGTGTATGAATTTTTTTTTTTAATTTAGGTAAAATTCCTAAATTTGAATGTGTTGAGATTGATTTTTTTTCGGCAATTTCCTTTTCATAATCGTATGTGTATGTTCTGTATATGGTTGTTGGGAACTTTGGCATGCAAAAAATGATGCGCGTTAGATGAAATTAAGTTTCCATAACTTTCTCATAGCCTTGTTGAACGCGGTTGAATGATTGAAAATGGAAATGCAAGTGTGCGAGCATTCTCTTGTTTGATTATTCAATAATGCAAAGGGAATGAGGAAAAACGTAACAACCATTTTATAAAGAATTTAAGAAGAAAAAACATTTTGTTTGATGATCTGGTAAAATTCTCTTACGTGAAGGACTAGTACGAAAAATCGACTTTATAGAATAGAATTGCCGTACATTAGTAAACATTTAGTCCAACATTTTTGGTCCGTTCACTCTTTTTTGATGGATGGACAATTCATTTCGGACGGACGGACACCATAAGAATTTGATCGGACGTTAAACGGACTGATATGTTGTATATGTTGAACGTACAAATCAAATTGTTTTCAGATTCCCATACAAATTCTTTGGAAAACTTCATTTAAAGGAAAATAATTTTTCTGGACGAATTTTCGAAAAAAGCAATAAAATTGATTTCATTACTGCTATTACAAAATTATTATGTTAACAAAAAGGTCAAAAAATTCAAGAGTTCAAGTTAAACTTAGTTTTTTCAATGGACTTTAGCTGCGAAAGTTGCATAATGGTAACAGAGTCTCTGTAACAGAGATAAATGCGATATTTTATGTTTATGTTGTCTGGGTACGATTATGATTCAGTCTTGGTGAATCAGTGTAAAAAATCAAGCTTACAGTATAAACAACATCCAAGTGTAGAAAAAGTTGCTCTATTTATTTGAATCGTTTTATGGAAGATTCATAACGAATATAGATATGTTAAACATCCAATTTATTTGTCACACTCATTCTCAATCTTTGATGTGTACTTCAATAGCACATGTCCATCAATTTTATTTATTATTCGGAATAATTCTGTTTAAGAAACCAATCAATGATTGGCAATCATATTTGAATGTTTTCATGGCCAAAATAAAGCCCAAGCAAAACTGATGCAAAAGCAGAGTATGAAATCGCACTTGTGAAGAACGCGCCTACTTAGTGAGCGCAGCGCCTCAGAAGAGCATGGTGTACTTTTCAGGAGTCGCTCCCAGCAAGCGCGCTCTTCGTGAGTGACATATTCATGCTCTGCGCAAAAGAAACGCTTTTCAAAATTCAAATATGATGTTTTTTTTAATTTTTATGAAAGTACAGAAGCATACATTGAATCAATTTTTTTTTTCTGAAAGAAGATCAAAGCAGTGCTGCAAGTGATACGTTTCACACGGTTACTTAGAAAACTGAGCATTGAACATATTAGAAATTCAATTTCGTATCAATATTAATTGAATTATGAGTTGATTAATTAGATTTGCCGCACCTGAACAAACTCACCTTATTTCAAATTCTCTTTAAAAATAAAGTAAAGTAACCGAACTAAGTGGAACTTAATTTCGAAAATTCTAAAACCTTTTCTTTTGAAATACCCTTTGTGAATAAATAATTTTAATGAATTTTTATTTCTTGCAGTCTTCCAATGTATTTCTTATGTGAATTCAGACTATAAAAGGCGGATGCATCGAAATGTTCAGACAGTTGATTTTTAAAAAACAATCTGCTGATAGTCAACTTACGAGAAATACTGAACCATGGAGAAGTTTAAAGTCCTTAAGTTAAATCAGAAATACATGGAATATTTGGCTATTTATTCGTACAACTTAAGGGAACCCACAAATGAATTTTATAGAAGGCCGATGACATATCATTTTTTGGCGGTCATGGTTTTAACACAGCTATTTAGTGCTAGATACGTTTTAAAATATTGGAAACTCAATCCTTTTCCTGCAATCGGTAGTACAATAAACATACGCAGTTTATTTGAAAATTAAAATACAACTTTTGTAATTTATACAAAGGAGCATCAAAAGTGGTAATGGGTACCACTCAGTGTGCGGCTTGTCTTTTATCCGTTGGAACTGAATTGAAAAAGGTCAAAGCTGTACATCTTATACTGCAAGACATTGTTGACACCGGTATATTGATACAAAAGATTTTGTTTTAAATATATTTCATAAATTTTTTAAAATTTCTTAGCCGAAAATCCGGAAATTTACAATATTTACTGGGAAACTGAGCAGAAGTGTAGAAAATCAACGTTTAGATTGATTTGCTATCCGTTTTATCACGTTTCTGGATGGTTTATTACGATCGCATTTGTTATGTATGACTTGGCAAATGGACAATACGATACATCAAGATGGTTTTTGTTCTTTAATATGGACGTACCATTTGATACAACAGTCGTTTGGAAATGGATATTACTATGGTTATTTCAATTAGATTTGGGCTACCTGTATGCCTCATGTATGACACTCGTGACATCATACCTTGGAAGCTGTTCATATTATATCAGCGCGATGTGTGAACATTTCAAGATAATGGTCGATTCTATTGAAAATGATGTCGAAGAAAATGAAACAGAAGCCAATCCGAAGAAAATCCATAACAAGCGCTTACATATCAATAAGAAATTGGGCGATGTGGTTAAATTTCACATTAAAATTGCTGAGTAAGTGATGAATACTATTAACTTATATGCACGCGAAAAAAATGTATTGGACTATTTTCATAGCATTACATCCATGATGGCGGATATTGTTAGTTTATCACTTTTTGTTGTTTTACCAACGAACGTAGTGTTCATGGCGGCCTCCATGTATGAACTCGAAGCTGTAACTATAGTTCCTTTTTTAACCTTCAATATGTATTATATATATATTTCCATTTTAGTCGTCAACAAATTTTGATTTCTTCATTTTATTTTTTGGTATATCATGCATTATTTGTTCATTATTTTGGCCATTTCTTTTCTGTTATTTTTCAACATTTTCGACGGACAAAGTTGCGTCGCTTGATTTTGTTGCATACGATACAAATTGGTATAACTACCCAACAAAACTGCAGAAAGATATCGTCGTTATAATTGCTCGAAGCCAAAACCCGATCTACTTTACAGGTTTTAAAGTGGTTCGTGCCACATTAGAAACTTTGGCAAAGGTAACACAGTTTACTATTTTATTTTATAAATGATTTTCAATAGAATTATACTTACAGCTTTTCAGGACATCAACTTCATACTATTTGATTTTTAGAACGTTTGCAGGCCGTTAAAAGTATTATGTCACATTTTGACAAAACAACTAATTTTCAGTTATTGATTGTTTTTAGTGTCAACGTAACAACAGCTATTACTATTATATTCAGTTCAACTTGATTTTCGATAATATTCGTAGTCAAATACCCGTTTTGAAATTAATGTCCACGTTTTGATATCGGCCAACAAATCAAAATAATTAATTACGATTAATTTTATTACTTGAAATCTTTATTGAATGATGAATATAAGCGTTATACAATAGATAACAATAATACGAACTATCTTAACCTTGAAAAACAAATTTTTCATTCAAATCAATTCTCTAATCCATGCAATACTAACCAGTAATATAAAATAAATAATTTATTGTACTATATCAGTGCCTAAAGGGGCTTAATTCGAATCCCAAATAGAAGGATTTTTGTGAATTCCATGAATTTGACTCATTAAGTCTGAGAATTTTTGGAATAAATGTGAATCTCGGTGAATTTCAGTGAATTTGTATGAATTGTACATGAAAATCCAAGGCTTGTTAGCACGCCTGAACTGTCAAAATTATACATAATGAATTCCTGTGAATTTTGTGAACTTTTCACCGAATAAGCCCCTAGATCAACCTATGAATAGGAGCTGTGAAAATAGAACTGCTATAGCTGTAGTCCAATCTATTCACTGTTTCTATCATTTTTTTTCGCTCAATACTTTATCAGTCGAAAATCCGGAAATATACAATATTTACTGGGAAAGCGAGCCAAAGTGTAGAAAGTTTACCTTCATACTAAATGGTTTCTATCCAATTTATCACGTTTATGGGTGGTTTATTGCTATCGCATTTGTTTGTACCATTCGATACAACAGTCGCTTGGAAATAGATATTACTATGGTTATTTCAATTAGATTTGGGCTATATATATGCCCTATGTATGACACTCGTGACATCGTATTTTGCAAGCTGTTCATATTATATCAGGGCGATGTGTGAACACTTCAAGATGATGATCGATTCCATTCGAAGATATGTTGAAGAATATCAAATCGAAACGAACCCAACAAAAATCAATACAATTTTGCAGCAAATTACAAAGAAAATCGACGATGCAGTTCAATTTCATATAAAACTGTTTGAGTAAGTTGAAATAGTCAGTTCAATTCGATATGAAATAAAGACGTGTTTATTTTTTCTCCAAGAATTACTTACATGTTGGCGGATATTGTTAGTCTATCACTTTTTGTCGATTTACCCACGAATGTGGTGTTTATGGTGGCCTCCATGTACGAACTAGAAGCTGTAAGTATATATTGTCCTTTTTTGCTTTCTTCAATTTTCTTGTCATCCGGTTAATTTGAAAGTACCAAGACTCCACATGTCAAAGCTGACTATAATATTTGTTTTTTTTTTTTTTTTTGTAAATCTCATTTTAGTCGTCAACAAATTTTGATTTTTTCATTCTATTTTTAGGCATATCGTGCGAAATTTATTAATTTAAAATAAAAATGCGGCATTCCGCACTAATTTGAAGCTTTTACTCTTCCTTTTTCAGTTGTTCAAGACATCAACGTCATACTACTTGATTTTTAGAACATTTGCAAGACGTTAATTTTCAGATAATAATATCTGTGTTTTATTAATGTGTTATTTCTTATATTAAATGTAATTTACTGTAAATCTCATGGTCAGCAAAAATTGTTGCGTTTTTAAATCATGAAGTGAAACGAAGAGAGTAAACAATTATTGCTAAAATTGTAGAAATTCATCATGGAGATAATTCATTTGAATAATTCACATCAAAATAACTGCGTGAAAAGGCGAAATCTGGTCGACGTTGTTAAATATGCATGGATTTGAAGTCAGCTGACTTCAGCATAACTCTGTTGAAGTAAAAACGGTTGCATAAATTTATCATCGGTTTGATTTAATTAAAAAATATTCGAGGTGACTTGAACGTCAGACGTTTCTTGAACCTTGTATACATTTTTTTTGCTGTTCTCCCGATCGTTTTTCATAGAGTCCATTTTTTATGGCAAGATTATCTATTGTCTATTATATTGTTTGTCAGTCTATCATTCAGTCAATCTGACGGCGACTTTCAGTGGATGAGCGAACGATTATTTGCATATGTTTGGAAAATTTATGTGCTGCGTTTTTTTTTTTTTAGTTTGCAATATGTGATGCACTGTGATACATTGGCACACAGCAAAAAAATGAAGTTATAAATCGGAAGCAGATATGCTATAGCATCAGCGCAACACATGCACTCATGGCCTAATGAAATAGCTCATAAATCATCGAGCATATATCAAGATATTCCAGCATATATTGATTCAAAAAATATGCGAACAACTTATATGTTTATCAAACATATAAAAGTGGTCAGAATTATATCAGCCGACGAAAAAAAACCTACAAAATATATATGAATGCAACAGCAGCGGCAACAAAAAATTGTAGCATTAGCATATGATGACGATTGTTTATGAACTTCGATATGTTTGCTTACAATGGATTCGTTAGAATGGAGCTACAAAAATAAATCGATTTATATTTACCAAATAGAAGAAACATAACACACACACACACACACATCCACTCACCTATTTGCAGCTTTATTAAAATCGAGCAAGAGCAAACCGAGGCGGCAGACCGTGTTCACTATATTTGATTTTGTGATATATGATTGAAGCTCATAAGCTTGGGGTTTATGGGTGCATTTGCACGTGAATTTTCATCAATTATTTACACAGAATTTGATTTATATATTTTGGATTTTGGCTACTTTTCACACTGTCGGTCCGTACCCGATTTACTGCCTCTGTATCGGAAAATGAATGTGATTTTCGATTCTGTGCTGTGAACATAATTCGTTGCCAAAATGGTGAGACCATATTTGATTGTGCTACAGAAAAACAAAATAAATAACGTTATGAACATTTCAATAAATCAATTTTATTTCAATAATATTTTCACATTTTCGTAATATTAGTCGGTGCCGCCAAATGTTCATTTTTATTATATTATTGCATCATTTTAGCTCTTTTCTGAATCAAATTGAATGTGAAATGGAAGAATTATTTTATTTTCTGTACATTTAAAAAGCGTCAAAGTATTTTCAATCCAAAACCACAAAAATAATCCAAACATCCCGATGTGGACAATATAATCCATTATCCTTGACAACTGAAGAGATCAATTCAAATGGAAATTACAGAGTCAAAAAAACCAACAAGTATATACAAGTCGATACTTTACATGATTTATGAGTTTGATGTTTGCATTTTGCTACGTTTAAATATCATTTATAAAACGACAACCGAAAATACACAAATGGCATTAGTTGGGCATGCGAATTTTACACACGCACACATAGAAACACATCAGTCTTGATCAGATTAATAAATAAACATATATGTGTTGTGCGGATGAGAATGAAAATGACGATATCTACTCTGCGTTTATGAAAAGTACTGCAGACGCTAATCGGCTATGAAAATCATTAAGTCATTTTCATTCTGTACTATACATATCCGACAATATCCGAAATCAGTATAAAATATATCAATCGCTGTGGTGCGTTTTAGTCTGCCACAATCCGTGTGTTACACACATACATATGCATGAGAAAATGAACGAAAAATAATTACGACATCAACGCATAAATTCAAAATCTAATCCAAATACAAAATATTTAGCCACAAGCACAGTTCCATACGCAGCGCGAAAATCAACAAAACGCCAAACTGTTTAATCGAATCGTTCATCCGATACGGTCGTTGTCCTTTTATCATATCGAGAGAATGAGAGAGAAAGGGAACGTGATACATCCTATCCATAGACACGGTTTATACAGTAGATTTTCAAAGCATTGAATCATGAACACAGTTCGACACACGATGCCCAACTTATATTGTGCAAATGAAGTGCTGACCGTTACTGATATTATTTTTGATTATAATCAACGCAAACACTGTACAATATTTCAATAAAATGTTAATCAATCCGATTTTGTTTGACATTTACATTATCCACAGATTTGACATAATATTTTAATGTGGTTTGTTTTGTGTATGATTAATAGGAAACATTTCATGTAATTAATTCATTGTAATAAATATTTTTTACTGAAATTCATTGTTAGTGGATCAAATAATACAATGGAGGAGCGATTTTTTATTAATTACATTAGTTTTTCTTAGTTCAATATAAATAATTGCTTAAAAAATCGAATTATATTCATATTATGTTGAGGAAATCCGAGATTTCCTCGAGGAAGTCAAATGGTTCGAACTAAATAACAATTTACTAATTTTCAAATTGAATTCTCAATCACATAGTGATGTGGAAAAATGGATTTAATTCAATTTTTTTCCATCAGTTTTAAAAAAATGTCAGTCATTGTTCAATTTTTCATGTTTATTACTTTTCCGCACACCTAGTGTAGGGAAGGTATTGTATTAGGCCAAAAAATTAAAGTCATCCCAAAACATGTTTTCTATGCATATTTAATGTAGAAAACACGATTGGAGATGATTTTGGGGCATATTAATGTGCGTCGCTGTGTGTGATGTGTCCTGTGTCCTGTGGCGTGTTGCCAAAATTTGTTAACACGATAAATCCTCTTCCAAAAACTTAATTCAAATTCTGACTTTGCAGGATGATTTGGGACTACTAGGAGACGTGCTGATTAGTTTTTGAGCAATATCTGTTGACCGGTGTAATTTTTTTTGGTCCGATTGGAGTACCCACAATCCCACATCCATACATTTTTGATCATTTCTCAACCATTTTGGTGACACGATGGTTTCGTGCTCAGACATGAAATTCAAAATGTGACTTCACGGGATGATTGGGCACTACGAGGAATAAATCTGGTCAAATTTTCAACGACATTGATTGATCGGTGTAAAACTTAGACTCTGAAGAGGCACTTATGAGAAAAATGCCTTAAAATGATATTCTTTCAATTTGAACGCTGAATGAATGTGTAGTGGGGGGAGAAACCCGAATCTGATGTTAGTTTTAAGATGCAATCAATTTTTCACACACTTTTCATACAAAAATCCACAAAAAGTTTCATTTTTGTATGAAAGACTTGCCTTTGTGGTACCGTAATGATCTGAAACTTTGAACAGGCTATTTTTTGGATTGAAATTTCTTTAAACTTGGTGTGATTATTTATTTTGATAAGAAAATAATATTCACAAGTTTTCACGGTAATTTAAGTTACTGCAACCATACAAAGACCATGATTTCAGTTTATTCCCAAAATTTCGGTTCCATGCGGAAAAGTCAGCTTGCGTACGTAAGCCTCTTTATTTAACAATGAATTGATATTATTTGTATTTTACTAATAATAAAATTAAAACTAGTTTCACAATTGGAATTTTGGAGAATTTTAATATTTGTTTTATATATTTCAAATGAAATCACAATTAATGAAGTGATTTAGATGGAATCCAAATCAAAAATGATCATTTTATCTAACTAAATAAACTAAAAAACTACTTTTTCAAACTGCATTTTTAATTAATGTTATTGAAATGAAAATTCTCTGTTTATTGGCACACAAAACATTAAAATCGATTCGAAACATGAATATATGAAACCGACTATAACAAAAAAAAAAGTTGAACAAAAATATTGAAAAAAACGGAAACTCGTCGAATTGGTATAAACGTTGATATGAGTAAGCGAAGACTCAAACCATTGATCGTTGTATAAGTGATTGGTTGAACGAATTTCAAAGCAAAAGAAAGAAAACAAAAGTCTTGCGCTGTGAAGTATCTCGTTCATGAATAAGTTCGTTATGTTTGCACGTTTGTGTATGTGTATTTGTGTGTGCGTAGGTTTATTTCTGATAAAAAACATATACATAAGATTAAGTCAAACAGTAACATTCTTCCTCAATATGTATACACGTAAATGTGTCGGTACACTGCTTTCTTCAGTCCGTGATGGCAACGAAATGACTAAGAAGACTCCGGCCAAAAGAGAATAACAACAATAACATGAGATCGCTAACAATACGTATACGCTCAAACATACATACACACGACGATGCAAAGACAGATCGTTGCAAATAGAATATGGATAAAAACAAACACAACGATGAAGCGCATTCTTTTGTACCACCTTCTCTTTTCAACCGCAACAATCATGACCATCAGCAAATTATGGTATTACTACCAACGGGCTTATCGTCTTCTCGCTTGCACACTGTGGAATTTCGACTTCATTTTTGTATTGCCGTTCGAATGCTGCTGTACTGTCTCTCAATACAGAGAGTCTCCTTCAACACTTCTCTCTTAGTATATTTCGGTCAAAGATTTCCTGCATATTCTTGTAAGTTTCAATATTCATTTATTTTTTTAATTTATGGCCATTTACCAATTGGATTTATACATTTTTGTTCAGTTTATTTGTGATAAATCTCTTTATTTCACTGGAAATGTCCATTCAGATTTTATTAAAAGAGATCATTTGACACATTCCATTCTTTAATTTGTGATCGCATTATTCTTATGATGAAAATGTTAATTTATTCATTTTTTTTCTTTCTCTTTAAATTATAGGTTTAGTTTATGTACTTGACGAGGCCGATGTGATTTAAATACAAAAATGTCAATAAATGCATGCATCCATAATATATATAGGAATTCTATGTATCAACATTGATATTGGAATTTTTAGTGAAATATAAAAAAAAGTGTGCCATCGTATTGAAATAATGTGCAAATATGAATCAGATTAAGTGCTTTCGAAATGAACTCGAACATGTTAGCAACAAAATTCCTTTGACATGTTAATCTTCGTGAATGATTTTTTTTTGAAACAAAGTGAATATAGTTCAATGAAACAAATAAATGGTGCATTTGTTGTAATAAGTATCGAAACGTGAAAAATAAATTGGGACAAAATGACAGAGTTTTTGTCCTTATGTGATGTTTTATTTAATGTGGTATCGTTGGCTGGTTACTTTTGTGATGTGGTTTTTGACGTTGTCTTGAGCTATGCATTATTTGAACGCGGTCATTTCATGTATATGTCATTTGTGATAGCATTGGTTATGTCATCGCTGATCATTTCGCAGGTAAATCATGTGTGTTCGCACCCAATTTTCAATCGAATATAAAATTGAATTGTTTATATCGAATAGATTCTGTCGTTGCGATGGTATGTGCATAAAATTGAGATGAAAAGCCGTGATTTGGTGCCAGTGCATGGTTCAAATGGAGATAATAACGAGCAAAAGAAATCGATGGATACAACAAATAATTCATCATCGTCATCGTCGTCAACCGAATCATCTGATCAATCAATTCAATCGAAAATCGAACGACACTGTGTAATTGCGTTGCACTGTTGCCAATTGGGCGTTCTATGGCGATACGCAAAGTTATTTATACCAGTTAATCTGCGGCATGTGAAGCATGAAGTGCGCGATTTATGTATGCTACGTTTGGTCCATGCATTTTGTGAAGCGGCTCCAATGCTCTTGCTCCAACTTTATATTCTGGTTACTATTCAAAAGGAAGAAGCAAATTTACTGAAGCCAGAAATACCATTGCAATCGCTTGGCAGTGGTCATGTGGTCCCGGTCATTGTACAAAAACCATCCGATGCACAACAGCATCAATTGCAAACATTCAAAGATTTGAATATTGTATCGTGTACATTGTCATTGTTCAGTGTGTGTTGGGCTCTGGCCAGTTTTAGTAAAAATGTTCGAATACAAAACGTACATCGGCTGGTGCTCACCTGGTTGGGTGTAATTTTTCAATTTTTATGGCGTTTGGGGACGGTTATTTCACGCGTTGCATCGCTCACCGTTTACGCCTCCGTTTACAATCATTGGGTGTTTATGGTGATTGCATTGCATTGGATATCGATGTTTTTGTGGCTTATCTCGCCGAAAAACGTATTTCACGGTGAACGCATCACACGCGTACGCAAAATTACGTTGGCCGGTTTAATTGCATTCGTCTATGTATTTGCTTACATCAATTTACAAGAAGTGAATCATCGACAAAAGATGTTCATTTTTTATTTTGTCATGTTTTTGGAGAATTCGTTGCTCGTATTCCTGTGGCTCATCGGCATTTGGATTGATAAACCGGAAAATTGGTACATGACACCAATTTGGATATTCACATCGTTTTTGGCCGGACTTTTGTTCATGTTTCTATACTATCGGTGCGTAAACAAACATTCTTTTCTCTTACGCAATTTGGATGTTTCCGCTCGTGTGTCTTTGTAACGATGAAAATGCATTTTGTTGTTTGTTTTTTTTTTGGTCGCTCTGTAAATAGGTACTTCCATGTGAGACGATTGGGATACGAGGCCGGTGGTCGAATGGATATTCACACAAAGTATTCGTGCGCCGATGGTACGAATTGCATTTCATTTGATGACAATTTAAATACATGTCAAAAGTATCCAACGCAAATACCCGGCGTGTTTAATTGCCGTTTTTCTAATCCGGTTGGAAAGTAAGACCAAACAAACCAATTGAAATGTTTAGTGTGTTTTTTTTAACGCATTCTTTGTTTCGTTCTCAGTGGTGCTGCGCGACGCAAGAAGAAGAAGCCAACTACTTTTGTTCCGCCGCCCAATTTGAATATGGAACAATCACTTTCGAATGGATTAGAAAATCAAATCACAAACACTGGTTTAATGTCGATTCCATTTTGGCGCCGACCTGCACGTTCACACACTTATGGATCGTGAGTATTTGAGTTTTTTTTTGACAAATTCTCTCATTTTCAACATTTTTTTTCGTTTTAAATTTTAAATTTGCAGCGAGAATGAAGGAAGTGCGGGATCGCGTGTTGATATTTATCAAAAATTACAAGAGAAAAAGCAAAAACAATTGGCCGAATTGAAAATCATCGAAGAAGAAATAAAGCAAGGTAAACTAGGTGGTAAGCCAGTTGGCAATGTAAAATTCAATGCAGATGAAGATAATCGAGCATCGTTGCCACGTCAACCCATTCCACATGTCAAAAAGCACATAAACATTGATCCGCACGAATGGCGAACATCAAGTCCCGAATTGTGTATCGCATCGATGGGAAGCATATTAAATAATTTGAATGTTATGCCATCGCCAAATATCACCGAAATCAATAATCTCAACAAATATACACGAAACTATGATCCATTGTACAACAATTTTGCATTGAATACGGCCAATATGCCAGCACTGAATAAAAAGAATTTCATTTCAATGGAGAACAATCAACCAAACATGTCACCAATTTCATCACAAATGTCGACCACCGAAAATCAAGCGCTACGACAAATTGTACCCAGATCGAAAATACCACACAATGTGCCACGCAATCCATTCGAAACGTATCGCACCAATTTTCCAAATGTTTTTGCCGAAAATTTCAATAACACAAACGAATTGCATCAAGTAGTTGTAGCCCAAAGTCCCACACGAATGGCATCGACATCGAATAGCAATAATGATGACAGTATCGACAGTAATAAGAAAAGTAACAACAATGTCAGCGAACATGAAAATAGTGCAAAGCAAAAACATCAACAGCACCAACAACACCAGCAGCAGCAGCAGCAGCAGCAACAACAGCGAATGCATTTACAGCGACAAATCCAACGAGCAAAAACACCCGAAATCCTATTGGCACCACACTATCTAGACAATTCAAGTGTGTTTTATGATTGGATGGATCGCGAACAACACCAGCAGCCGTATCGATCTGAAAAGCAATGTTGCATTGCCAATGAAAATCTCGACGATCAAAATGAGAATGTGTTGGACCAAAATGAGTATCGAATCCCATCGGATATTGACAGTCAGGTATGAAAAATTTTATCCGATTTTTTTGTTTGGTTGTATCTTTTGTTTAAAAAAGTTTTTAATTTAAAAACATTTTAATGAATTTTTCCCGTTTTTTGGTGCTTATGATTTGTTTCGCTATAGATTTCATTGCCGCGTTCGTACACATTGCCAAGAGAATTCAAGTATTATCGCCGGAATAAGGGTCGAAAATTCATTAAAAATGAACGCTTTGTGCTGAGCACAAACAGTAGCGATGGTGATGTCGATAGCGGTGATGATAATGAATCAGGAAGATGTTCGAATATTTCGGGCGCTTCCCAACAGAATTGTCTTCGCTTACAATCGCCAATCGTGGGCAAAAATTCACCATTACAAACAGCAACAACGGTGACTGTTGCATCGAGTCAAGTGTCAAATGCACGGAATCAATTTCCGATAAGTATATCGGCCACCACATCACCTATAACTGTATCAAATATACATGGTGTTTCATCTTCAGCCAATTCTCTGATGAACAATCTAAATTTGACAAACGATGGGAATGCCGGAAATTGTACACGTTCTGCATCAGCTTCACCAAATATTGCACTCAACGTACCAAACTATTTTAATCGTTTGCCCAACGGTCACTATTTACAGCAAGCAAACCGAAATCGCATGAACTTAAACGGTAGCCCGTCGATTGATTGTAATATGATGAGCGGTACTTTAGATTTAATCAGTGGTGTCGAAAACCCAGCAGCTATTGCGGCAATGAATCGACGAATGCGTTTTCGTAGTTATGGCAATCAGAAGAATGGAATGGTACGACATGAAACGAAGCTGTGAAGAGTAAAATAAGTTTGGTGACACTTCAATTCAAACGAGTGATCAAGACGTGTTTTCGAATTTTCATTTTCAAACTGCTATTTAATTTCATAGATATCAATTTTTATTTAGAACAAAAAAAAACATTATATTAATTTTTTTTAACACGATTTTAATTCGACTTTTAGATCATTTGTAAATAAAATCAATAGTTTAGACTATTTAACATGTATTTAATATTAATTTTATACGAATATTTCATAAAATAAATTCTTTCTTCAAATTTAACAACATTTTTTATGATCAATTTGTTACCATTATGGGAAAATTATAAGCAAACAACAACAACTCAAAATTGGTGTGAATATTTGTGTAAAAAAAAACAATTGCTTCTGTATGCAGATTAGTCGAGAGTCGCTGTATGTCTCCGATGAGGGACATAGAGCCATGTCAAGATATTAAAGAAGATAATGTGATCATCAAGCTGAATAGCTTTATTAAGCGGCTACAATGTAAAAATGTACATGTCACTGTCTGGTATGCTACATTGTTAGAATGGGGCCAAGTTGATTAAATGCGCTGCTCAAATATGCCATAAAACTGAAAATTTGCTTCAACTTGACCATACAATGGCGAGTGTTACAGTATGGACTGCCCGCAGTAAAAGATATAAAAAAAGAATAAACCATACGATTATCATTTTGCCTCGAATTTAGAGTAAGATATTAAGAGAGTGTTGAGAAAGAAAAAAAACTCAAATCATTTTCTTCCTTTTTCTTCCGCTCGTCAATTGCATATACAACTGAGGCAAAAAAAAATACTAGCAGCGCTTTTTTTTAATTCTTTTCCTTCCAAAGTGGGGCCTTTGTTCCATATTTGCTTGAAACAAGTGTCGAGCAGCTTAAGTTTGAGCTCAATTTTTCGCACTATTCACCACGCTCGCTTGACTTTGTTCGACTTCGTATTCATTCGCATTTTGTGTGAGATCCCACAATGTATGAATGCATGAGTGTATGTACCATGCGGTCGTGTTGATATTATCAAGAGCACGTATTTTTCAAAGTGAGAACGAAGCACGAAAAAAGCAACTTTTAAAGCTGCAAATGAAAAAACTAACACACATACAGCAGCTTCAACTGAATTTAACCTCATAATCGTTATTGTCGAGTACCGAAGTAGTGGGCACACAATCATGGTATATACAGATGCATATGTATGTGCTGGCAGAAGATGGCAAAAATTAAACGAAAAACCCAATGATATTTTTCCCATGTTCAAATTGAACCATTTCACTTTAAATGGTTTACAAAAAAGAATTCAGTTCGTTCTCCTACATTCATTCTTGGTCTTTAATGCTTTTGAATGCAGTGCGGCAATAGAAACCATGTCGCTGTTATTCATTCATTTGTGCCATCTCGTTCCCAAATGAATTTCGCTGCGAGCAAACGTTGGTACTGTTACTGATATGTCATCATTGTGTATAATTCTCGTGCACCCAAAGTCCATGAAAATATTTCGTTCAGTTGACAGTATGAGTGTGTGTGTTGAAGGAAAAATGGCCACAAAGGAGTGCATACACCAGCGGCATCCAAAAATGGCGGAAAAATCGCAGAATAAATTTTCAAAAGGAAGAGAAGAGGATAAAAAAATGGAACACGATAATTTGTTGTAAAATGGGCGGATGGCACAAATCGTGCAATGGTTCATATTTTGAGATTTTCTCTTATGGCGATGTTGAATCCATTCGCTCATGACTTTTTTCATATTTATTTCTACTTTTGCCATGTTATTAAAACGCGAGCATACACAAAACGTGGTCGGAAATCATTTGTATTTCAGACGGTGATTTATCGAACGGCCAAAGTCATTCGCATGATGCCACGGGGCAACAATAGAAACAAAAAAAAATCTCTACCACCCGAAACACATGATAATTTAGTCTGAAAATTGTTGATATTCTTCTGGTCGCGACAGATTTGAATGCAGGAAAAAATCGATATATTCACGATTTTATTATAGCAACCGCCAAAAGGAAAATAATATCCAAACGATACGAACCCCGAATACTGTAGAAATGCTCGAAATGCCAAATTCATCTGGGAAATCTCTTTTCATCTATGAATCGCGCAAATTTCAAGAACTTTCCTCATAATCACCTCTATTCAAGCATTGACGAAGGCGATTTCGTTTCCCGATAAATTCGATAAATACCACCAATAAAGTAATAGATCGACAGTAAAGCGATGCAGATGTAAAAAAAACGCGAAATGCTTTTGGCAAAGCACACATCAAATGGAAATGTACATTTTTTTCTTGGCGATTAAATCGCTATCCGAATTATAATTGTTGTTGCGGTACTTATCGCGGATACACATGGTACACCAGACAAACGTATGGCATTGGATCTAGCATTGGATGGTTGAATTGAATATGAAATAACCAAGTGGCTTGGCATTTGCCTTTTTCGATGTGATATGAATTTTTGATTTGGCCATTTCGCATTCAAGTGTTTCCATTCGATTCACATAATATGCGTACCTCAGCAAGAACTTAAGTGTGCCGCTCTGAACGTGGCCGCCATATTTCATTTACTGACAAATTCGTGGATAAGAACTCATGTGGGTCTCTGTGTGGCAATTGTTGCAATATTTTGCGCACTCAAACAAAATCATGTGCATTACAAGCATATTTCCTTCACACATGATTTTAGTTGAAAACCATTACCGACGAAGTTAAAACGACATACGTTGAACAAAAAAAATCTACCTCTATGACACATCATTTCAAATCGATATCAAAAAGCGAAAAAAAACAATTAATTGAGATTACACGAAAATTGAATTTCTATTTTATCGAGTTGGAAAAATAGTGACTACTTTTGAAAAACTACACCGATGTAAATCAGTATGTTAAGAAAATGAAAAGAAATGTCGGACAAGTGACTGCAAGTAAAAGCGTCGCTTAGCTTCAATTCGGTTTTATATCATATACAGAAAATATCACGGAATAAGTTTCGATGAAAGTGTTTCGTCATTTAGACCATTTTTCCCTTCTCTTCAATTTGCTTGCCACGAAAAAAGTGATGCTTATTTCCAAGAATAAATTAATTTACGTGGCCGTTGAAAATCATGTAAAATCCATGGAGACCAAAAAAGTGCTAAAACTATTCAACAAGCCGCCATGCCAAGTGAACGAAATTTTGAAATTTAAATTTGGGAACTTAAGTGGGTGGTTGGACTTCAATTTAAATGCGTGGTCTACACAAACATCAGCAAAAATACACGGTGCTGCAAATTTTTACTGGTAAACTCAATGATGCGGGCGTGTGCCTCATTGCGTTTCGAACTCATCACCAGACTTATTTAACGGATAACAATGTTTCAGTTAGATATAATTCAAGTGCATTTTTAATAGCTCAAAGCTAATAAAAAGGCGAAGAAACACCGTCATTTACACGAACAGTAATGAAACTTGAGAAAATATGTAGTTTTTCTATTTGAAAATTCAATTGGAAAGGAAAATGAACGCTAAATTATTTACCATTTGCTTTTTAGCACATAAACTTGTTGGCCACATCGAATAAAAAATCTACATTGGGAGCGTAGCTGCGCTAATATTGAAAAAATAAATATTTCAAAGTATGTGTACCACTTTGTACAATTTAACTAAAATTAACCGGTTATATTGTGTAATTTCATGTTCATTTATTTTCACTCCATGAAATTGTCATTCTTGAAACATCGTTCGACTGCATTTATTTGCCTTTTGAATCTCCTTTAAGACATTCGTTTCTACTTCTATCAAGCCACTTGAGATGTAATATTAGACTTTGTTTCTTTTGAATAATACATGCAATAGTATGACCCAAAGGTGAAAGGAAGACAATTCAACCAAATTGGTTTTTTATTCTGAGCATTTCATGAAATATTGATTGCATTTGGAATGAAGCTCTCGCAGCAGTTTGTTCGACACACATAAACTTGTAGTGCGTACACTTGAATACATTGTGCAATTTGCCGCGAATATTTCTAATAAGTGTTTAATGAGAAACTGAATGATGGTGTTTGCCATAAGAGGATTGTGAAATATTTGAAGTAACATAGACATTGTTTTATTATTAATATTCGATCAGGTGTTTTGTTGTGAAATTTCTTAAGTATTAATTGCATAATATGCAATTTGTGTACAATTAAAACAAGGATTGAATCGAACATGCATTTAAATACAGTATAATCAATGTATCTAGTAGAGTATAATCAGTGATTATATTGTTCTCGATAACACTTGGAAGTGACTGCTTCAAATATTATATTATCAAATATGGAATTGAGGTCGTTAGTAACCAGCCTTTGTACTTGGTATTCAGTTTATATATACATAATCTCAGCGCAATCAATTGAAAAGCTATGAAGTGACTTTATCGTTCACACCAATAATCATTTGATGTAAATTGAAATTGATGCTGAATTTCTTTTGTATATGATAAGAGACTTCAGACATTTTGTACATACAGGATTCCATAATCTTGACGCAAGTTTCAAAGCCAACTGAATGACATGTTATAATTTTAATTAAATCAAAAGGCATCTGACATCCAAACCGAAAATGTTCATAAAGTTACGCAAACGTTTTTGAAGAGATGAATACGGTATATACAATGTTGTATAATAGCCTCATAGCAAAATGAAAATTTACTGACAACTAAAATATACATTTTATTGAGGAAGAAAGTTTCTCGAATAGTGTTTTTCCTAAGTTCAAAAGTTAATGGATTCTTTCAGTCATTGAAAGACAAACTATAAATATGTTTTTATTCTTCATCAGGGCTAAAAAGATCAAATTGTACAATGAACTACGCCTTAAAATGTTTTAGCCCTGATGAAGAATAAAAACATATTCGAAACGTTGGCATAAACGAAATAACATGTAGTTTGGCTTTCAATGACTGAAAAAATTCATCAACTTTTGAACGTTTCTCGAATAGGATCTGAAGATGCAGTTTATTTTAGGCAAGTATATGTGAGCCTTTTACCTTTTTCGTATTTTCATGAACATTGTCTCTTAACCATTTGAATATTACTTTGCAATACGACAGTTGATTTGAAACTCTGTCTCTATGACCGTCTTTCAATAGAAAAATTTGAATTGCATTTTCACAAGTTCTGAAACTATGTTG